GCCTTGCGATAGGTGGCAGATAGAAGTGGATGGGTCACGGCCTTGGGCTTAGTGCCGAGGTCAACATAGAGCCATAGGAGACTGGGGAGATCTGTGATGAAGGTGGAGTTGTAGTAATCATGGGAGTCCTCGTTGATCTGTTTAACAACATATTGCAACAACTTTCAACGCAACATCAATTAAGTCTTACTGCTGAGATATTAGAAGATGGTGGAATGAGGATGCCTAGTTCTTCTTCAGTCTTGTTGAGATCCAACTTCTTCTCTGCCGCTTCTCGCCGGACAATCACATGGGGGTCTACATCAGCGTAGGGCTCGTAGAACTCTGTACACATGGGATGGTCAGATGTAGCTTCATCAGGTAGACATGTCAATGGACAAGATCATGTAAAATTCTCAGACTTACTTATTTCTTTTTATGTTGTCTAGATGTTGAAACACCATCTTTTGTTGGCTTGCCCTCTGACTAACCAAATTGTACTTGCTTACTTTGACATAATGCCATCTTTCTGTATATACTCAATCTTATGGCAAGTTTAGAGCTATTTGTACACAGATTTATAAATCACTACTAATTCATCGTGTAAATAATTAAAGATATATATGTAAATAATTCTAATATAGCACAATAGTCTGATAGACTTCATGCTTCTGTAATAATAATAAATTTTAAAAAAAGACTACTTTATTTTCCGTTTAAGTGAATGCATCCAGCATCAAACTGTATCCTACAAACTGGAATGCTTCACGATTTTGTATGAGATCCTTACGCAGGGGCCATGCTTATCTTCTCTGTATCTTCCCTATTATAGTAGTTGCACCGCCAAACAAGTGTGTGTATGGTACAAGTACAGTACAACAAGCTTGAGATAAGGGCTTCTGAAGAATTTCATAACATCGGGCAAAGTTATCTTCTTTCTTATCTTAACTCAATCATACTAGGTTATCAAGCCTGTAGAGCTTGTTGATGGTGTTTTGACAACCATCATGACTGGGTGAAGTAGAATGTGTCAGTCATTAAGACTTGGGAGTACTACTCAGTAGCAGGCCACCGACTTAATTCCAATATGATATGGCTACCTCTGACATGAGGAACAGACACCATGTACAGCTGCTCCTAACATGGAGTACATTCTGTATCCCTGGGTACTATCAGCTAGGCCAGCTGAGCCCAGGTTTTTTAGCAAGCTTGTTACTGCTTCCCCTCCTCCTTTTTTATCTGGGCTTGGGACCAGAAGGTAGGTGGAGTTAGGCAAAGTTATAGGTGTTTGAAACTAATCAGAAGCTACGACATCCCACTTTCCCCACCTGGCAGATATGCAATGATGAAAGTGTGGTATAGATGTGTGTTTTACCTGTACTCCTCATACTGTTCTAATATTGCTGTCATAGTGTGAATGGTACATCTGGTCTTGACAGGTGGGAAAAGTGGAATGTATTCTGATTAGTTTCAGATAACTTCACCTGGTGTTATGAAATTCTTCAGATGCCTTTATCTCCATTCAGTTTGTTTCTGGATGCATTCATTTTTATATTTACTATTCTTTTATTATTATTCCTAGTACATGTGTAGTACAAGCCATGATAATCATGGTGAGTAGTTAGCAACTGTTTTTACTGTAAGTGCAAACCGACGGGGGTCGGTGGAAGGATGGTCTAAACCGTTGGTTTTCAATCGCTACGACCCGGGTTCGATTCCCGCATTGAGCACTTTTTTCTAATTAAAAAATGCTCCAATGGCCCCTGATTCTTGCAAAAGTCCAACCCCACCACCGAGTGCAAGTAACCGAACAGGGCTCTGGCACATTTGTAAGTGCAAAGTCGAACTGCTTTTCACACGTGTAGACATGTGGTGTACTTATAGTAAAAGCAGCCGCCTACTTCTACCCACCATAATAATTCCAGTACCACGTGTACTAAGGATAAGCAGAAAAAAAAAAAAAAAAACTGTAAGTGCACTACACATGCCTATATATGTAGAAAGAAGTTTAAATTTTGAACTTACAAATATGATAGAACCCCATTTGGTAACTTGCTCTCAATGGTGGGGTTAGACATTTGCAAGAATCGGGGGCCATTTTTATGCAACTTTTTTTATTCAGAAAAAAAGTAACCAATGTGGAATTTGATTCCAGGTCGGGGTTGTCTGAAATCAATGGCTTATATAACTATATAACTGGTTTACTGATAATCTAGGCTGACCTATGATAAGGTACAATTTGGAGTATTCTATATACAGTTACGAGTGTCATTCCTCATCTCCTAATCAATCAACTCTGTCACCGTTTGCTTTTTTTTTTGGAATGGCGCCCTCCTATTGGTTGGCTATGGTCACGCCACCTTTGCCCCCCCCCCACTCGCTTTTTCGTTTTTGTAACTATTGTGTTGGAGCGGGTCGCTCCTTAAATAAATGCATATATTAGTTAATAACCAAATGGAATCCTCTCTTTCTTTTTCCCAGTAAGAGACGCCTACGGAAGCCAACAGTACATAGACAGATAAAGCACATAGGCTATAGTTATTAACTAATATATGCATTTATTTAAGGCGCCAATTTATAATTGTAACAAATAGTATTTGAATAAAAACACTCAATCGGGTAAAACACAGGCGTTGCCCGGGTCATTCGGCTAGTATTTTATAAGCACAAGGTAACAAGACCATATCTAGATGAATAAATTATGCATGACATTTCAGTAACAATGCTGTCACTGAAATGTTACATGTAACCTATTTGTATCACGTCTTGTTATCTTATGTGTTGTTGTTTGTATCCATCAAGTCCAGTTTGACATTTGGCCACTATATGGACAAATATTCTCCAATTTGATTTGTTGATGACTATATCAATGGCAGCTCATATAGTAACCTTCTGGTAGCTTCCTTGACCCCTTCTAGCCAACTCATTGCTGGTCTTTCTCTCTTGCTCCTATGTTTCCCAAATATATTTTCTAAACCAATACCTCTCATTATATGTCCATAACTCCGCCTTTGCCGATCTCAAGCCTGGATTAAAAAGGAGGAGGGGGAGCAGTAACAAGCTCACTAAAAAACCTGGGTTCAGCTGGCCCGGCTGATAGTACCCTGTAAGGGCTCCTAATCCAGGGATACAGGATGAGCAGCGTTTATACTCCAAGTTAGGAGCAGCTATACATGGCGTCTGTTCCTCATGTCAGAGGCAGCCATTTATTTTGGAGCTAAGTCAGCCTGCCACTGAGTAGTGCTCCCAGTCTTAATGACAAAGGCAGACACATTTTAATTTACCCAGACCCTAATATGATTGAGTGGAGATAAGGAAGAAGAAGAAGATATGTTATAAGTAGGGTAGTCTTTGTTTGCATATTTGATATCCTAGGATTCTATCAGGATTAATTTCATTTAATATTTGAATATTTATCCTTTAATTTGTCCATGACAGTATGAGTAGCTTTCTCCATGTCCACATTTCAAAGGCTTCAATTCTTTTTTCTTCTTTATTTTCTGAAAGTCCAGCTCTAACATCCATAGGTGACTACAAGATATACCAATTTATCTACAATTCTCTTATTTGTCTTATAAGAGGAAAGCCTTTCATAATCTTGACCAATTTGACATTTCAGCCTTGTGCTGTTCTTATTGTATAAAGAAATAAAGCTACATTAGAAAATAGCTTCCATAAGAGAATGTCTAAAAAAGACAGATTCTCCAAGAGATGGTCTCTGATTAGAGGTTAAGTTACATCAGGTCATTTTTGGAATTTACAAAGTTCAGTGAGGAACAGTAGAACATACACCAAGAGAGGACACTCCTGCTAGAAGACACCTTTCTACAAAGTCATTATATTTTTTACTGAAAAGAAACTCTCTGGTAAGAAGACATATTTCCCCTAAAGGACACTTTGGCTCTGTAACTGGATGTTGTCCTTTACAGAAAGGTATTTCTACTGTAGTTGTTTATAAGAGTTTATACTGTATTTTTTATTAGATCACCATTTACTGATTAAGATTTATTTCCATGTTCTTTGGTAACTTTATCTTATAAAAGTAAACAAAAGGTTGTGGAATTACAGTAGAAACATACTCCATTGGAGAACATTCACAGTAAAGGACACCTCTCTGCAAAGAACACTTTTCATCTTAAAAATTACCATTATTACAGACTAGTAACTCTCTCCATGGTAAGAGGACACTTCTCCCTAAAAGATATTTTGGCTTGGTAACTAGGTGTTGTCCTATACAGAGTGGTAGTTCTACTGATTTCCAATCATCAGCAATTCCATTATGTTTCGATAAGGTAACAAAACCAAATCTAAATGCAGTGGACTCTCGTTATAACAGCATGTTTAGACCTAACTGCTTTTGTCTTTTTTGTTTTCAGAAAAGCATTGCCTGATGCAACTTTTTATATGCAATTATGTTGTTTCTTATCCCCTTGTGTAAATATTACACAGATTCCATGAGTTCATTCTCCTCGAGCTATTTGATGATAAGCAGAGACCTCTCCCAAAGGTCCTGTTTAATGCATCTAGTGCAAGCCAAAATGTATTCTGGAGCTGCAGGTGCCAAGCTACATTTTGGCCAAGTGGGGTAGATTTTGTTGTTATTTTCTATCTTCAATGGCTTGAGATGGCCTGTTCTAGCTTTAAGTCAGATTTGTTTAAATTATGGTTATAAAACCATGGTAATAACAACATAAAATCTTAGGACCAAGTATTGTCAAAGCAAGATGACTAAGTATGATGATAATTTATAATGATAAGAATGATGGTAAATAGATCACATGTGACATTTTATTGACAAGGTTTTCTTTTTTAAATTATCCATGATAATCATGGTAGGTAGTTAGCAACTGCTTTTACTGTAAGTGCTCCACATGTCTACACATGTGAAAAGCAGTTCAACATTTGCACTAACAAATGTACTAGAGCCCCATTTGGTTACTTGCACTCGCTGGTGGGGTTGGACTTTAACAAGAATCGGGGCCCATTGGAAGTTTTTTTTTTTTTATTAGAAAAAAAAAAAGTGCCCAATGCGGGATTCGAACCCGGGTTGTAGCGGTCGAAAACCAATGGTTTAGACCATCCTTCCACTGAACTCCCAACAAGGTTAAAAGCACAAAGAAATAAGAACCAAATCCAAATAAATAAATAGTGTGTAATATTTCAGTAACAGTGTTGTTACCATCATCAGAGAAAAGTACTGAATGACTAACAGCAACGTTTTAAAAACATGCTGCGATATATTTTGTACATTAAGTATTTTTGTCTGATGATGGTAACAACACTGTTACCGAAACATCACACACTAATTTATTAATTTGGATTTGGTGTTATTACCTTATGTTTCTAATCTATAATCCAAATTGTACCATTCAGTATTTTTGTCTGATGATGGTAACAACACTGTTACCGAAACATCACACACTAATTAATCTAGATTTGGTCTTATTACTTTGTGTTTCTAATCTATAATCCAAATTGTACCATTCAGTATTTTTGTCTGATGATGGTAACAACACTTACGAAATGTCACACACTATTTATTTATTTGAGTTTAATCGTATCATCTTGTTTTTCTCATCTATAATCCAAATTGTACCTTATCATTTTAAAATTCCAACTACCCACCTATAGGTCTATCTATGGGTATGACTAAAAATAAAGAACCATAAGGAAAAAGGCATTGTGCCAAAACAGCTTAGGGAAAAGGATATGTAGGTCAGTTAAATATGTTAGAAATATGGCCATACTATGGGTCTGATTATAAACATAGAAACAAGACCAAGTGTTGTTAACAAAACATCACAAACATTTCATTAATTTGGTCTTATCTATATATATAAAAATGAATGTCTGTCTGTCTGTGTGTGTGTGTGTCCTCTATGGATTCAAAAACCATACATCCAATCGCCGTGAAATTTTGGGATATTATGAGGTGTATCCCCGGAAAGGTTTACAAAAAAAATTTCTTGAATATCTTGAATATCCTTAGAGTTATTTGCAGATTTGTATATTTAACTCGCAAGCAGCGCTACCATTGAGACGGAGATAGGCTTAGTTTGCTGCTCCTGATGACCTTGGGTCATCGTGTGAGTCACAGCATGATGCTACAAAAACACTCTCTCTGGGGATTTTACAACGTCGACAACCTGTAAGATTGCCTCTCTCATATATTATACTTTAAACATCTGCTTAATTAAAGCATTTTTCATTTGAAAGAGACTGCTCTCTTAACCCCCTTTAGACAACATTAAATGATATCCCGTGTCGATGATTTTGTAATGTATAGAATTAGGAAAGACAAAATTCAGGATGACACGGCTCACAGGGAACGGTAAAAAATGTTCACTTTATCGAGGAAATACAAAATTCGGGATGACACGGCACACAGGGACCGGGAAAAAATGATCACCTTATCGAGAGATTCACGACCATGATTTTATTCTACTTATCGAGTATTTTTCAAGGGACCGGGAAAATATGTTCACTAGATAAAACGATTATTTTGTAATATAGAAAATTAGGAAATACAAAATTCAGGATGACACGGCACAAGGGACCGGGAAAAAATGATCACTTTATCGAGAGATTCAAATTTACGAGTTTCAAATCATCAAAATATGTCTTTCTTTTTTTATATGTTTATAGAGAATTGTTTTAACAAATGTTCGTTATACAAACCTTTACTCGGGTAAAACCCGGGCGAAGCCGGGCACATCCGCTAGTTACTTTATACAATTAAACCTGTCTATAGCGCCCCCTCTAAATAGCGCCTCCTTCTCTATAGCGCCCGATTTTAAATACATAGTACGATGTGATTTACATTAAAAGTGACCTGTCTATAGCACCCTATTTTGGTGAGTCCCAAGAGGGGGAGCTATAGACAGGTTTAACTGTAGTACGATGCGATTTACATTAAAAGTTACCTGTCTATAGCACCCCCTCTCTATAGCACCCTATTTTGGTGAGTCCCAAGAGGGGACGTTATAGACAGGTTTAACTGTAGTACGATGCGATTTACATTAAAAGTGACCTGTCTATAGCACCCCCTCTCTATAAGCACCTTATTTTGGTGAGTCCCAAGAGGGGGCGTTATAGACAGGTTTAACTGTAGTACGATGCGATTTACATTAAAAGTGACCTGTCTATAGCACCCTATTTTGGTGAGTCCCAAGAGGGGGTGTTATAGACAGGTTTAAGTGTAGTACGATGCGATTTACATTAAAAGTGACCTGTCTATAGCACCCTATTTTGGTGAGTCCCAAGAGGGGGTGTTATAGACAGGTTTAAGTGTAGTACGATGCGATTTACATTAAAAGTGACCTGTCTATAGCACCCTTTTTGGTGAGTCCCAAAAGGGGGCGTTATAGACAGGTTTAACTGTAGTACGATGCGATTTACATTAAAAGTGACCTGTCTATAGCACCCTATTTTGGTGAGTCCCAAGAGGGGGTGTTATAGACAGGTTTAACTGTAGTACGATGCGATTTACATTAAAAGTGACCTGTCTATAGCACCCTATTTTGGTGAGTCCCAAGAGGGGGTACTATAGACAGGTTTAACTGTATTATGCAAGAAATGTTGAGTTACAGGGATCGTTGATGAAGTACGAGATTCAGAAACTCATTTTTTATGTGAAAAAAATAGTGCAAAAGTGAAATTGTACTGGGATCATGTGGATACATTTATATAAAAGTTGCTGATGGCTTGTGCCATCTATCAGAATAAATATCAACTATTCATCACTTTTTAAAATTTCCACAATTGGCCAAATATCCTTTCTTGATTAATCAAGAATGGTATTTGTCCAATTCAGGAATATATAAAAATCAATGAATAATTGTTATTTACCTGTTTTCTTTCCTCTTTTCACTCTCCACTTCTCCCACCCATATTTCCAAAATTTTTTTTTCGTTTTTTTCTTACTTTCCATAGGATTATTCAAATAATAATCTGTATATATTTACCATGTGTATATAATCTTTCTCCATTTTTACCCCTTTGTATATTTCCCACTTTCATGGGTTTCTCCGTCTTGTAACCCCAAGTAGAATCCTCTGTAAGACCTGTGTGTCTTAATAAAGGTTTTTGTGTGTGTGTGTGTGTGTGAATAATTGATATTTATTCTGACAGATGGCGCAAGCCATCAGCAACTTTTAGTTGCATGATCAAGAGATGTCTTTTTCTTGTTTTATGTTAGTAAAATAAAAAAGAAATTTCTCTTTCTCCATATGTATTTCATTTTACATTGTTTTCCTGAAAATTTAATACAATCTTATGTTAAAGTAAAAATTCATTAATTCAACCAGCAAGAAACATAATGTATAAAAAAAACAAATCCTATTGATTAGGTACAATTTGTATTATAGATTATAAACACAAGGTAATAAAACCTAATCCAAAAAAATAAATAGTGTGTGATGTTTCAGTAACAAGTGTTGTTATTGAAACACCATGTTAATTTTATTAATTTGGATTTGGTATTATTACCTTGTGTTTCTAATCTATAATACAAATTGTACCATTCAGTACTATTGTCTGAAAATGGTAACAATGCTTTTATCAAATCATCACACACTATTTATTTATTTGGTCTTATTACCTTGTGTTTATAATCTACTAGCGGACGTACCCGGCTTCGCCCGAGGTTTTACCCGAGTAAAGGTTTGTCTAACGAACATTTGTTAAAACAATTCTCTATAAACTTATTAAAAAAAAAGATATATTTTGATAATTTGAAACTCGTATATTTGAATCTCTCGATAAAGTGAACATTTTTCCCGGTCCCTGTGCCGTGTCATCCTTAATTTTGTCTTTCCTAATTTTCTACATTACAAAATCATCGTTTTATCTAGTGAACATTTTTTCCCGGTACCTTGAAAAATACACGATAAGTTGAATAAAATCAATATTAATTGGTTCCCTCGGTAATTGGAAGTTAAAGGAATAGTATCTTCGCCTTGAATTGTATCATTATTCTTGTCTCAAATAAATTGCCGTGTCATCCTGTGATAATCTTACTTTTGATAAATAATCTTTAAGATAACAAACTTAGTGATAAGAAAACTTGTTATCATCGTCACAATGGGGGCGCTGCTTGCGAGTTAAATCTACAAATCTGCAAATAACTCTAAGGATATTCAAGATATTCATGAAATTATTTTTCCAAAACCTTCCCGGTGATATACCTAATAATATCCCAAAATTTCACGGCGATTGGATGTATGGTTTTTGAATCTATAGAGTACACACACACACACACACACACACACAGACAGACAGACATTCAATTTTATATATATAGATAATTGGATCGGCGTATCCTTCGATAAGCAGTGGCGGCCCCACAAGCCACTTGTACCGCCATCCTGCAACATGTGCAAGACACCCTAGATCATTCCATCTCGACCAGAACCATTTCCCGTCGATTGGTTGCTAATGGCTTGCACTCATGCCGTCCGCTAAGAAGACTGCCATTGACCCCACCGAATAGGCGCCAACGTTTGGAATGGTGCCGGGCTAGATCGACGTGGATGACGGAATGGCACAGGGTCGTGTTCTCAGATGAGTCGCGTTTCTGCTTGTCCAGTGATAGTCGCCGTGTACGCGTGTGGCGTCGACGTGGAGAAAGGTCCAATCCGGCAGCAATTGTGGAACGCCCCACCGTGCGACAACGTGGAATCATGGTTTGGGGCGCAATCGCGTATGATTCCAGGTCACCTTTACTTCATATTCCAGGGCACTATGACGGCCCAACGATACGTTGATGATGTGCTGCGACCGGTGACACTCCCCTACCTTCAGGGGGTACCCAATGCCCTTTATCAGCAGGATAACGCCCGACCGCACACTGCTCGCATTAGCCAACAAGCTCTGCAAGATGTACAGATGCTTCCCTGGCCACCGTACTCTCCTGATCTCTCACCAATCGAGCACGTCTGGGACATCATTGGACGCCGTTTGCATGCCTTGCCACAGCCGCGTTCAGAAGACGAACTGTGGCAAATGGTTGAGAGGGAATGGAGAGCCATCCCTCAGGACGCCATCCGTACTCTGATTGACTCTCTACCTAGACGTGTTGCTGCGTGCATCGCCGTCCGCGGTGGTC